GAGTTAGGGAAGCATTGCATATTATCCCACCATTTTTAATGCATATTTTCGCATTTACGAGAAACCTATTAGGAATTAGCCGACTTTCTTGGTTTTTCGTGTGTATTAGCCCATGGATTTGGCGCCTTAGAGCATCCAAAATTTTTCTGAAAAAACTTTATGAGAACCTTAATAATGAATTGGGGAAGCATTCCGTATTGTCCCACCGTTTTATAAGACATATTTTCACATTTACGAGCCAACTTTTAACAATTAGTCGACTTTTTTGGTTTTACGTGTGTATTAACCCATGGATCTGGCGCCTTGGAGCACCCAATATATTTTATGAAAAAACTTTATGAGGACCTCCTTAATGAGTTAGGGAAGCATTGTGTATGGTCTTGCTATTTTCAACGCATATTTTTACATTTACGAGCCAATTTTTAGGAATTCAAAAAAGTAAAGCAAAAACAGAATTATTGGTGAAGTTACAATCGTATTTCAGACGAATAAAAATTCCTTTTATAATTACTAAATTTTGTATATGTTTTCAATGAGTTCAACTAATCCAAATATTTTCAACACAAGTACAAGTACATATGTTAAAAATCCTTAAAATTTCAAAAATAAAAATTTTGAACATATAATTTGATCAAAAATGTAATGAGTTAAACTCAAGAACCTAAAAGTTGAACCTGGTAAATTTAAATAATACATTCATCATCTTGAAATTCTGAATCAGCTCATGCCCTAGTGATGTCGAGGATCAGGTCCGTCAGGACTAAGCCGGTTGACGTGATACTTGAATGCATCTTTTCTTTGTAATCTTTCCCTCAAAATTTCTTGAGCAGTCTCCATAAGTGTACTCCTCTTCCTTGGTAACAATGTCTCAAGAGGACGACTTTCTAACCTTATACAACATGAAAGCAAGATAATAATAATGAACCATAACAAAAACCTAGAAGTACTAGACATTAATTCTTGAATAATTAATGATATATATCTAAGGTTTGCATGAAATGAAATGAAGAGAGTTATATTTGAACTATATATAGTCCTAAATATTATTCATCATAGTATATAATATTATTGACAAGGGAGAGGGGGGGGGGGGGGGTTCACAATCAAATAAGATAAGTGCTAAAAATGTGAAAGAAAAGTGTAGTAGTGATTTGATAACTTGTTTAAAACAAACTTTTTTTGTATTCTACTTTTTAGGCCATTTGACCTGTTCAAAGAGAAATTATATTACTAGCTATTCAAGTTGTCAACCTGAATTTTTTTAATGCACCTTTTTGGTATGCAGCCTAGCAAAATGGTTTTAAAAATGAGTAACTATTTAAACTGATCCATTAGATATGAGTTGGATAATCGATTCTTTAAAAATGAATACGAAAAATGGATATATATTATTCACTAAAAAATAAATATTCAGACGAATAATTATATGAATATTTATATTATCAATACTTATTTGTATGTGTATTAATTTCATAAGTTCTTGCTTTTGAGGAGTGTTATTTTGACTTTTTAGTTTGTATTTCATCTAACTATTTAAAAAGTCAAGGAATAATATGATTATCTATATCATCCCTTTGATTAACTCATTTTTTAATATTTATTCGCTTTTATTTAACTCGTTTTCGATTGGTGGATTTCTAATCTTATCCAACATGCCATTTTGTCACTTGCGCAGACAGTACTGCACCAATGGATCTTTATATTCGTGGTGGATGTTATATCATACGTGATTGTCCAAAAGTGACCCTACAATATATAGTGATTCATTAATTAATTAAGCTTCATTTAATATAATAAGTTCTAATTAATGAGGATTATATATAATTAAACAAGGTTGGTTAATTAGTTAGATATGCATATATAAAAAGAGGATGTCGGCAATGTTTACTTGGCTGCTAGACGATGTCCACAATATTCCCTACTTATTTCTTTTTTTGGAAATTCAAACGATATGAACATTGACTAATATTTTAGGGATAAGGTATAAATATTTTTAGACAATGAGTGAAATTTCAGAGATATATCTTAACCAAACTAAGGTCATATTACCCCCGAACCCATTTTTTTGTAATTTTATATACCTTTTTGACTTACGTGGTATCCAAACATCTCTCATATGCCTCAACTACGTTGAGTCACAGAGTGTCCTACGTAAGCCAAAAGGTGTATAAAATTACAAAAAAAAAAAAAAAAATGAGTTTGGGGTAGGGGTAATAGGACCTTAGTTTAGTTAAAATATGTTTTGAAATTTCGAACCTAGTCTAGAAAGGTACTCGTGCTTTATCTCAATATTTTAAAATATATTTTATCAGAGAATTGCAATTTATGATACCTTCCATACAATTTTTGAATATCAAAATTCAATTTTAAGATATCAAATTATTTGTATTGTCAAACTCAACTTTTAAAATTAATTACATAATCTCGAGGAATGAAACATTATAACTATTTTGAAACGACAAAGGAAATGTCTATATCTTAAATCTGTGTATGAATTCATCTCTTTTTCAACTTTTTTTTTCTATAAATTCAAACTTTCAACAGTTTACAACTTAACACATTTATCTTATTTGAGAATTAACTTATCTAATATGCCAACTAGCAAAATTGATGCAAGCTTGCCTTCTATTTGACGACGGCTGCTTTTTTATATTTATGCATTACACGTATGCATATATGATAAACCTAATTTTAATTATTTTTTATAAAGATATGCACATTATCACATATGAGACATTTAGATTTGCCTTTTATATTGTGGTTCAGAATCGCTAAAGCATTCAACGGTATTTATATAGAGTATTGATTATAGATATCTATATTTATTATTATCTCTAACTATAATATAGCGACAACTGTATTATTACTGCAAAACTCTTTATTTGTTATAGTGATACGTGAAGGCCACCACCTAGGCACCTATAATAGAGTAATTTTCGTTTGAATTTAGGTCTCTTACTTAGTTGTTGAGAGATAGTGATAGAATTTCTCCAGAATTTTATGAAGTCAATAAAAATCAATTTTTCAGCAATTAAATTGATTTTTTCACTTTATTAGTGATAGAATCCCCTACTTAATTAGTGATTGATGTTGTTTAAAATAGTTGGATGATATACAAATAATAAACTTAACTAATAAATAAAAGTATAGCGATAATTTTTATTCTCTTCCCGATATTTTTGTATAGGGTTATGATGGGTTGAGAAATGTGGGGTTATATTATATACTTGTGATTCACTAACAGGTTGAAAATATTGACTAAGCCTAGAAATAAAGGAAATTTTATCGAAAATTTTGAAAATTTGGAGAGCTAGCTAAATTTTAAGGTCATAAGGATTTGTAAGTAAAGGATGGCTTGGATGATGAAATTTTGTGCTTAAATATGATTAAAGATTTATATTCGAGAATATATAGGTAATGATTTATGAGAGTTATAATAATTTTCCAGTGATTAGTCATTGATATGTTATAGGAAAAAAATAATTACTTTGCGACTTTGGGCTAAGGTTTGAAAAGTGATTTGTGGTATGTTAAAATTTACTCTCTCTTGAGGCTTTTCCCTACAATTTATATTGTTGAATTGATTTTAGAATATGATTTAGTGGCTAGGAAGGCCGCTTTGGGGTCGTTTGGTTGGACAAGTTATTTTAGGATAATTAATTTTGAGATAAGTTATTTCGGGATAAGTTATTCCATCATACATATGGGATAACGTATCTCATCACTATGGCAAAAATGGTGGATAACTAATCCAATGACTACCTAATTAATACCTCCAACCAAACATGGGATAAAATAATTCTACATTTTATTTTCTGCGATTATGATACCTTATACCTACATCAAATGAGTCATTTAGGGTTTTGCATGTAGGTCTAATCATAGAAAGGTAATATTACTCCCTCCGTCCACAATTGTTTGTCCGGGTAAGGTCATGTACACCCCTCAAGGAAAATTTAATACAAGGTGTAGTTTGACTAATATAACCCTACTATAACCAAGAATACCAAAAGTCCACATAACTTTTCAATTGAACTACACTATCATTAAGGGCAGAATTGGAAAAAAGTGACTAATTATTTCTTGATTGTTTAAATTGACAATTAATCTTGGACATCTATTTTTAGTATACCTGCCAAATAATTGTGGACGGAGGGAGTATTACTTTTGGCATACTAAAATAGAAAGTGTCTCATAAATTGAGACAGAAGGAGTATGCAAAATACCTATGTTAGGGATTTATGAAGCATTCATGATACTTCCTTTTTTATTTTTATGGTACAGTTAGCAGGTAAAGATTAGTTAGGTGCCATGTAGCTTTAATTTATAGTTGAACCCTACGACAACTGTTAAATAGGTACATGACTTAATTAAGATGTCTAAATGAAAAATCACCCCCAACTTTCCTTAACATTGCCCCAACCATATGGACGTTGCATGACAATAGCTAAACATGTAATTCATGTGTATATCATACCATTAAAAAATTGAGATGAAAATCTCATGCACGGTTTTGAATGAGAGAGTTCATCTCCTGCATGATGCAGTTAGTCAACAATTATTTATTACTAGACTATAGTCTAAAATTGCAGTAAAAATCAGTACTTATGATAAAACTTAAAACCATAATAAGAGGCAATCAAATACCACAACTACTGTTGTGAACTTTCAGACCATAACAAGAGATCATATACACAACTCAGAAAAATCAACCAAGATCCCTCAGCATTCATTCTATTAATTCCAAGTCAAAAGACCAACATACACAGTAGCATTTTCGGACATACAAGAGGATGGACATGAGAGCTTAACTGACATTCAATCCTGGTTGCGTCTACTTCAGGGGAAAATACATATAAATTCTTTGCAAAAAGTTGCCCGGAAGATGAATGGGAAAATATGTACACACCTCCATTATCATTTCCACTTAAGATCCCTAATAATTTTTACAATATGCATTCCTACCATCATACTTGGTTTCTACAACTACAACCAAGTCCAGCTGCAGGACATCGCACAAAGCAAACCTAGCTGCTCTAACTGTGTGCAATGCTATGAATGAAAATCCCAGCACATGTATAAGCAAAACTGGTGAAGCAATTTACAGGTGCTACATCTCTCACATGACTACCATAACCAATAACACTTGTATAGAAATAACATCATAAATAATGTTAAGAATGAGATGTCTGACTCTTCCAAAATCACTTATCTCTTCGATTATAAAACTTGAAGTTCTTGATTGCAGCCGTCCTTCAACCAGAAGAGGACCTTCATCTTGGAACCTTCAGATGAGTACACAGCTAAAGACATCCATGAAGAATTCCTGCAAAACAACAAGATAGACAAAATAATTTAGAACTTCTCCTGAATCTAAGAAGAAACATCATAAACATTGTTAAGAGAAAATTCAATAATGGAATAAAATAGTGAATAGCAACAAAGATGCATATAGCACTTGACCCCAAAAAGCAGTCCAGAATAACTGAGGGCGGCACACACTATTAATGACCTTAATTCATTTTTCCCCCTTCACCAGTAGCTCACACACTATTTGGATGCAAAAAATCATTTTTTACCCAGAAAAAGAACAACTTAGCCATATCTTATTATCATTTCGAATGATTTCAAATCAAATAGTAAATAATCCTTCAATGGACTGATTGATAATCCAGGCGAATTCAAAGCTAACCTAAGATAAGTAGAAAATTGAAAAATCAAATAATGTGGACACTAGATTTAATATTCAATATTTAAGGAGTACTACACAAAAGGGGTACTTACCAAATATTGACAAACAAGGCAATCACAAAATTTTCCAACTTTTAAGATAATTTGGTGATACCATTAATGTGCTAACTTATATGGTATGACAACATTTTGTGTTAAATAGGATCAACATTAATCATTTTCAGAAACTTATGACTTCTTCTTTATTATTTATTCCATAGGTCTTTTTTTTAATTAAAAATTAAAAAGATAACAAGTAATAAGATACGTTAATTAGCTTTACAACTATCTAGTCCACAACAATCTTATCTAAAGATATTTACGGACTAGAGTTGCATACACCATCAACATGTCCCTCCCCCACCCAAACTACCATATGTTAACCTTCAATGATTTAATCAACAGCATGCGCAAGAGAACTTTGCAAGAGCCAAACCAATCACAAAAAAGGTGCAAGTCCGCAAGAAATAAGAAAAAAGTTAGCTAACTGACTCACCTGCGCTAAGTGGCCTTTCACATCAATGGCCCGCTTCAGATCCGGATCCAGAGGAACTATCGCTATCAGAATCTGAAAAGATAGAGCAAAAGATATCAGACACATGCAGTGAACTACTGGCTGCAAAATCAATAAAATTAAACATGCGACAATTGTGGTGCATTTAAAGATGAAACATGCAAAAGATAATCAGTATTACCACTTGACGATGAACCTGAATCGCTGCTGGAACTGCTTGAACTACTGGAACTGCTTGCGTTATCCATCTGTCTTCCCGCTTCTGCACTTGTAGCAAGAGCACTGGTGTTATTTTTAGCTAGTCATGTAAAAAAAACAAAGAACCATAGAACCATGTTCTATGAGTATTTTCCACCTTAAGCATGAACCTTGATATCACTCTGGGAAAATAATCACATGTATAAGAGGCTTACCAGTATTACTGTTCAGTGCACCAGCAACCATAGGAGCAGAATTCTGTAAAGAAATGCCACAAATTAAGAAATCCCTACCAGACAAAAATGTAAAACGAAGGTGGAGAAGGAAAAGAGAGAGGGATATCTAGATCAAAGCTCACCATGACTGGGGCAGTCCGTGTAGTTACTCTGGCTTGCTGAGCAAGTTCAGTCTTTCTCTTCTGCTTGCTTAAGTTCTTTTTGTAATTGGTCACAAACCTTTCAAGCTCCCAGAGGCTTTCTGCATCAACACTGTCTATGTCTACTTCAATCACATCATCATGTTGATAAAATGTTGAGTTCCTCTTCTTAATAATCTGAACAACAGCATCAAGCTTTTCTAAAGGTAAACTCTGAAGATGTGTGCTGAGTCTCTGTTTTTCTTCATAGGTCATATCCCTTTTATCGGGATCATTTGCTTTAGGTTTCTTAGGAACTGGTACCCTACCAACATGAGCAACGCGTGATGGCTTGAACCTGAAATCAGCTGGTCCAATCATTGACTCAGACCTATCCAAAGTCCTTGCTTGAGAAGCAGGTGGAGCGGCATGAGAAGTTACAGAAGCATGGGCAAAGGGAGAAGGCTGAGGGACCTTTCTTGAAGTGGGGGTAGGCAAACCTGCATCATGATACATTTGATACCTCCAATCCGGATTAAACTCGCCCTCTATAACCGCCCACCTCTCTTCAAAAATCTTTAACAACTGTTCCGACATAACATGAACATCATGTCCTTTGGGATTATAAGTCATGGCATTACGGAAGACAAGTCTCACATCCTCAGCAAACTCCCTGGGAGACTTGTACCGATTTTGAGATAACCTAGCTTTGATAGTGCCCAAATCCATTGGATGCTTGATGATAGCATGATAATCATGCAGCCCAAGACCCTCCACGTTCACTGGCTCATTAAATACCCACCCATGCTTGTGCTTCATTAACCTCTGAAGCAGGGTGGTGCATCTCTTAAACACCTGATTCCTATGTTTATCAAAGCCAAAGCCAGCGCCAAATGGATACCCCTGCTCCAACTCACCATTGTGTTTCCTCCCAGCACCATTTGGCTTAAATTTTTTATTGCTTTCCGGAGGCAATCTATCCTTCCCAAGTAAGAATTCGGAATTAGTGTAATACTGATTGGCCTTCGGGGTCCTCTTCTCCTTCTCCACAAACTCAGCAACTACATTATTGTTTTCCACAACTGCAACCCTTGGTCGCTGGAATGGTCTCGATCCAGGGTGCCCCACCAAACCCATCTCTGAATTCACTCGCACTAAAGCCCTACTATTCATCACACCATTATCGATATATCGTGGTTGACTATTAGAATTAACAGCACCACTAGGAATAGCGGTTATCCTACCAACATTATTAAAACCACCATTAGTATTTGTATCATGTGTGGTCAGCTGAAGCTCCTTAGCTTCAAGCTCTATAACTAAACTCCTAATCTGATCAAGCTCACCCGCTAAGTCCCTCCTAATACCTCTAATCTCCACTCTTGATGTCGCTCCCCCTATATTAATCCTAATTCTATCTCGAACCCTAGAAATTACAGGCTTAACTGTCGAATCCAGCTCAGCATGCTCTCTAGTTAATCCATCTGTATAACTCGCCATAGCAGCCTCTTCACCCCGAACATCCCCACCATTTTTAGCCTCCACAATTGGGCTGCCACCAACGTTAGCCACTTCTCTACCATCTAAATCTCCCTGTGATCCAAGGGTATCATCCTGCCCTTGTCCACCATTTATCAATTCTACCTGATCCCTATCCCTCCCATCTTCCAATTCCAAATCACACGGCAACGAATCTTTCAATTGAGGTTCTTCCTCCTCCTGACGGTACTGCAACCGCTCCGATTCTTCTGCAGATTCCAATTCCCCAGCCTGTACAACAAAACCATTCGCATCCTTGCTGCTACCCTTGTTGACATCCGGCGCAGCGGAGATCGGAATCGGGTCATCCTTCTTCTGGATCCTTCTACGCTTCCTGGTATAAACTTTGGTAGGGCTTCCCCACCTTAACCTTTCTCTAGATTTCAAATCGTCGACATGTGAAGCCATACATGAAATCAAACCAAATAACACAAGAAGCCTGAAAAAAATCCACCAAAATCACCATAACAACATCTTCAACCATAAAAAAAAAATAGGGTTCCTCAGAACCCCATGAATCGTAACAACAATATTCCGAAACCCTAGCTCAAACAGATCGGAAAAAAAAAAGCGATTCAATTTTCAGGTAAATCAAAGCCGGTACGGAACTAGGGTTTTTCCAAAAATAATAAAATAGTAAAAACAAAAAAAAATTACAAAAAAAGTAAAAAAAATAAAAATAAAAATTGGGGAACAATAAAATTAGGGTTAAGAAAATTGGGGACAGAGCATAGCAGAAGAGAGAGAGAGAGATGATTACCTGTTGAGAGATAGAGAGAGAGAGTTTTTTCGGGTCGGATCTAAAAGTGTACTCGCTTGGGTTGTGTACGTACAGTTTACTTTCTCTTTTATAATGTTGTTGACACGCGCTTGTCGTGTCGGAGCCTACTGTTATTACCAAAGAGGCACTTGTCGTTTTGCCACGTAATATGTTGGGAAAACGTGGGATGACATAATATTTTTTTTGTTTTTACTTTACTTGCTTACCCTCGTGCTTCTTCTCGGGATCATTTTTACTTGTCACAATTTATATCGGGGAAAAAATTAAACTATATGGTTGAAAATTATTTAGGTCATGTATAATCACATGATTTAGCTTATATTTATGTATGAACACATGGTTTAACACTCATTTGTTTGTTTAAGTATAATATATGAATGTGTTTTTTAATTGATATAATGTATACATATATTTTTTTAATTTGATTATGTTCTTTAACTTTGAGTGTGTATCAGTAGACGTTTAAACATGTATGAAATTTAATAAATAGATATATGTGTCCTACGTGACATAATACACGTAGGATGTGAAATTGTCAAATAGGATGTCATGTAGGATATATGTGTCTATTTGTTCAACTTTATACAAGTTTGGCATAGATGTTGGTTGGGATTAAGTTAAAGGGCGTGCTTATATATTATGTTTATTTAATTTGGTCTTAGTTGATATATATGTTTTTCAATTTTGGGTGTGAATAAATAAAAATCTAAATGTGTATAAAGTTGAATAAGTAAACGCATGTAATATGTGCAGTGTCCTATGTAGCAATACACGTCTTATGTAGCGTCCTACATGTGTATTATGTCATATAGAATATGTGTGTTTACTTGTTTAAATTTATATAAATTTAAATGTTTATTTATGTACACTCAAAATTTGAGGGTATAAATGTCAATTTGATGTTAAGTTAAAAGGGAAGTAGCTATATTTATGTATTTAAGCAAGCAAAAATTAATCACATTTACTAAGCTTAGAAACTTTGGACCTTTTTTGGACATTTATTTAATATGTGATGTTATGAGCCGCACATCATTTATGAGATTTTTGGTTAAAATAGGGTTGAGTTTAATATTTTTTATATTTCTACTCAAAATTCACCTCAGGATTTAAAATGTAATAACACTGGATAATAATATTCCAACACACAAGTTTATCGTCAAGATTTTATATTAAATTCAAATTGTTCTTCATTTATATGTATAATTGACGAACATGAAATGTTTGATCGACTAAACATCTAGTACTATTATTAACATGTATCGCACATTTATTGAAACTAGTTATTATATGGTATGAATATAAATGTTAGTTGACCGAAATCTCCTTCAAATATTAAATAATTTTTATGTTCTTAATAAATGTAAACCCTATTTTATTTTGAACATACTTCAAAAACCTAAAAATCTTTTGGCAATATATCTTTCCAGACATACTTAGTCACAAGTTAGTAATAACTCCAAGTTGATTCACTATCAAATTGAATTTTATCAAAGATATTTTATTAAAGATACTTTATTAAAGCAACATACCCCTCTTCATGTATCATACTAACATATTTAACTTAAATATTATACTGAATATTGACGGCGTACAATTATTAACGTGCAACATTACACATATTATATTATATTAAAAACACAAAAAAACTTAATGAAATGTCGTTCGACTTTTTGAAATAAATTTCTCAGCAGATACAATAATCATTTAATTATTTTTGTTATATTTTAGGACTATGAAATCAATTTAAAAAGTCGTAATGAAATATGTCCTTATTTGAATTATGTGATACAATGGATCATCTGACTTTTAGAACTCGTCTTTAAGTTTTTATGACATCTTCTTATCACATAAGATTCTGGATGTGAGCTTTCATTTCATTCATTTTGTAATAATACAATGTGTGATAGCTTAACCTGAACTCTTTAGACCTCCAGAGTTTGTCACCAAACCTCAAGCTTAATAGTGTTAACTACACTATGAATCTCATCTATCAAAACTATATCATATGCAAATAACTTACATCATGGCACCTTACTCGGATTTTAGATTAATTATGGCGCAGTTGAAATACTGGAGGAAATTAATGTATGCAGGAACATACCATCTCAAGTCAAGCAAACCACACTATTTCAGGAAAGTAATAAATCAAGAGACGAGATTAACTAATCAAGATTCTAAGACCTTATTTAAATATATTATTTTTTCCAATTTATGAATACCAAAATGACTTAATTAACAATTACATTCTAATAAAATAGAATTAAGAAAACCCAATTTACTACTCCCTTTTTACCAAATAAATCTGCATGTATAATAAATGAATCTGCATGTTCAACGTTGTAGATTATTTAAGGAAAATGCACCCATCACAAGTTTGCCAATGATTATTTTCTACAAATATATATGTGCTATATATCTAACACCTCTACTATCTCAGACTATAAAAGCTAAATCTAATGCAGCGAGGAGCTCGCAAAATATTATGCAACTCAAATGTATCCAAAAATGGAACTGGCAAAACTTCAAAGTATCATTTTCTCTTTTTTATGTTTAATTAGGCGTGGGCAAATTTGATTCCTTTCTCAATGGACGATTTTAGCTCTGGTTTAAGAGCTTCAAGTCCTTCTTTCTCGTAGTCTGAAAGTGCGCCTAATCCCAAGACTTCTTCCACGCCATTTTTCCCGAGTCTCACCTGAAAATAGTTCAAACAAGTGTTGAAATCAGAAGAAAGATAACCAACAAAATAATGTCATCGACTGACAGAAAATGAAGATCCCTCTATACAGATGCAAAATCGAGTGATGGCAAGACAGATACATTTAATAGCAAATAGGCACTCAAGCACCATTTAGGTTAGAAGAGGATATCATTACCTTGGATGCAAAGAATGGCAGGTCTGTCACAGTTGACTGTACGAATGAACACTCTACAACATCTGGAACCCCATTCAGTCCCTTCAAGCAAGCATCCGCGAAGATGGCACCCGCATAGCTGCAAAAGTGAAACAAATTGCTCAAAACCCAGTAACCACACAAAGAAAGATGTGCAAAGAAGTCTTTCTTATTTTTTATAACAATATCTTTTACTGATATACTGAGTGGGGCAAGTTCTCTTCAATACATTGTTTTGACAAGTAGTTCACTTCAATACTAGGTGCATGGAAACTTTATATTCAACGCGTTATCAAGATTGCGCAATCTTGGCCACTATGCAGCATGTGTTAATTTCCAGTTGTGGCATGTGACAACACATGCAGAAAAAGGTATCATGTTGTATATTAGTATTGCGAAAACCTGTCAAAATATATTTGCTCCATTTTAATTTACGTGAATTTATTTGAGTGTGCAGAGAGTTCAAGAAAGAAAAGAATTGGGACTTGTGCTCTTAAACATGTCATAACATTTGTGTGGCTTCTCATCAAGGATAAAATGGAGAGTTTCTTAAATTACTTCCAGGTTTAGGAAGTCTTTCTTTTTTAAAAGGACTATAAAGGGGATATGGTCACATAAAGAGGAACAAATAGAGTTGTCAAGCAACTCTAGACCCTCTTTACAAGAATTTGACTCTCGTTAGCGGAAGACACTTATGCAGGTGTTCCTTGTCAATACCAGAAAGTTCTTGCCACCAAACAGAGAAACTTTCATGAAAACATTGAAACTTAAATAAGTAAAAGAGAGCATGAATAGAAACATACGCCATCGAGAGGGTGGCTGAACCCTTTCCAGCCTTGGCCTCCACAACTTCAGTGCCACCATCTTGGGTGCGCTTGGTGAGTGCCTCAATTTCTTCACTTGACAAATTTGCACTTGGAGTGGCCTATTGCAACATTTAGAGATAACAACAATACAAGAATTAGTAAAGTTACAATGTGGAATTAATCTTTTAATGAGTCAACACGAGGTAGACTTAATTTTTAAATAACCTAGATTAAACAAAAGAAAAGAAAGATTACTTGGGAAAATAACGGGAGGATAGTTACGCCAGCGTGACCACCAACAACGGGGACAATGACATCTGGAACAATGCACCAAAATATTTAGTAGTGAATAAGAACTTTGCATGAATTGACGGTTTAATACAATGAAATAGAAGCAAATCAAAGATGGAAATCACTATGATGCATACCAGCAACATTAACTTTAGCTTTTCCAGCATAGAAAGTCTTTGCCCTAACAACATCAAGTGTGGTCACTCCAAAGAGTCTCTTCTCATCATAGGTTCCAGCCTTCTTGAACACCTCAGATGCAATTGGGACAGTGGAATTCACGGGGTTGCTGATCACATTGACAAGTGCCTTTGGAGATTTGAGGGGAGGCATTAGAGGAAAGAGGAAGAGTCGGTATTTGTTACTCCAACATCTAAACTAATATGTAAACCAATATGGGAACTTACATGAGGGCAATACTTTGCAATAGCTGTGCAAAGAGACTTAACAATACCAGCATTAATGTTGAACAGATCATCGCGGGTCATACCAGGCTTTCGTGGCACACCAGCCGGAATAATGACAACATCAGCTCCCTCCAAAGCATTCCCTAGCTGTTCTTCTCCTGCATAACCCAAAATCTGCAAGTCCAGGAAAAAAACAATGGTCAAGGAACTGCAAGGACTAGGGATCAGACACTGAGGCCGTTCAGTTTGTGGATTGCAGGTGAGGCAAGTGGGATAAAAAGTATAACACTGTTTGGCTTATTGTGCAAAGGATTACATCATTAGGATAAAAGTTAGGGGTCTTTCAGGAGATCCATATATTTTAAAATAAGCCCCCAACTAAATTCTGCATTAGTTGTTTAGCGTTTGGTTTTCACATTTACTCTCAGTGTTCACAATATCAACATTAATTATGTAGTTATACCAAATTCAGTAATGTATAACATTACAAGTATTAGGAATAGATGCACAAGAGCACATAAATCAGAAAAGAATAACCTTACATTTGATCACTTATTCAGTTAACCATTTCTTACATATTATCTCTCCGTGTATTTTGAGAAAAGTTCGTATATTGACTATAAACTATAAAGTAATAAGAACATCAGGCAATTTAATTAACTATACCTCAATCTCTAACTGCAGGGGTCAATGCTATAAATTCTCTAGATATCTTGCTGTATTTGGGTCCATTTCATTTTGATATAAGTAATTTATCTTTTATGGTAAATTAGGAGTCCCTAAAACTAAAAGTTCTCCAAACTTCACACCTATCCCTATTTGAAGCTAAAGCAAGTGTAACAATGACTAAGGCTTAGTCTAGCTAATTGGTACCCCTTGTAGATATATTCTTCGATAAATCCGCATTGATACAGAGAGATCATACTACTCTTAAAGCAATTTTCTTCCAAATGATTTTAGTTCAACCTGATCTCTTTTTATAGCATCTCCAATCACCACAATGCCGTACGTAAGGACTAGTGTTTGTAGGTTTATGCAAGGCATAGCCAAACCATATATGGCAACTTTTTACTAATTAATCCTATACTTGCACTTTTTGCCTGATGTGATCATTTCTATTTTTGTCCAATCTTATATGACTGCACATCTATATTTGCATCTAAAGTTCCAATGACAGTTAATCTTGCGGATATAATAAGCATCTGAGACCCAAAGTTCACCCCATATCACATTGTTGATCTCACAACCATTTTCTAAATTTACCTTCTCAAGTAGGAATCTCAAAGCACTCTTTCACTTCAATCACTAAAATTCAATCAATCTACTACATTTTCGTTTATCTCGTCATTCACTTCAAAAGATTGAGCACTTCAATCAATACATTTCTATCAACCAATCTACTATATTTTTGTCTATCACATTATTCTCTTCATCAAGAGATTGAGTGACACCGCAGTTTTATCCAATCTCTCTTCACCTTCGTCCTTATGGTAGGAGAGCTAAATGTGGATATATTATGTCTTACTTCGACTTATCCTAGAAAGTTATACTGTGAAACGCTTCTCCATAATCCCAAATTGCAATCAACTCCCTTGTTAGCAAAGTAAAGTTGTCATCTTAACTAGAGAAATGTAATATTTATTTCACATTTTTGTAGTTTAATTCCAATGAGTTTTTGCTTGAGAAGTTCACAAGGAATCAAGGATTACAGTATAGAGATTCTAATAGTAATAATAATCACTGGAGTATTTGCCATTGAATGTTGAAGTCATCTACAACAAATGCTTAGATAAAATTTGATAAAGAGTTTTTTTTCTGATAATTCTATGCCTTCACATCATTATTTAATATTTAGCTTATCATCATCATACCTGGCATATAATTAGCAAATATAATAGGAATCAAAACAAAACTCAACGAAATCACAGGTACAGATTCACATAAAATACAAAGATTAGATCAACTTGTGAGATAAACGCAACGAGTCATCAACATAAAAACAGAAATCAAGTCCTATATTCATCAAAGGACACTGATACATCAGAGCAGTTAAAATTCTAGGGCTTAAAAGAGTGAGAAACCACACACTCATCACGAAGAGCGTAAAACATGGAGTAACAGGCAAGATAAAGCAGAAATTAACCTCAGATCTGGTGTTGATGTGGCTGACATCAGCAGCAACACCAGGAGTTCCAGCAATATCGTAGAGTGCAAGTCTGGAAACTAAAGGATTCAGTTTCATGAGAAGTGACAGCGGCTGCCCGATCCCTCCAGCTGCACCTAAAATAGCAACTTTCCTGTCCGGAGCAGACTCCGATGCGAATCCCCGGCATGTTCCGGCGGTTGAGGTTCTGCGAGCCAGAGTTCTCAACATGGATGTCCTCATTGCTATGGCGGAGAAAAATGTGAAGTCGAAAATGAGAGAAATATTCAAAGGGAGTGTTCAGTTGCGTGAAGCCGACTACAGTATTTATACTGGCTATAGATTCTTAAATTTCTAGGAATGGGTCCCCCTGATTTTCTGCCGGTAAATATTCCCTGGATTCATTTTTACTTGTTCTCTAGTATTTAAAAATCTTTTGAGTTTTTTATCCAATATTTTTAATATTTACCCTAAAATTTTAATTTGTGTAAAATAAAGCTTTATTTGGAGATAGCACTCAAAACTTTTTATTAATGAGCAACAGTTTCAATCACTACACTATATTCTTTAGTAGTTACATGTTAATTTTAACATATCAAGAAAATATAATTATTTTTTTCATATTTAATTCTTCATATTAATTACTTATTTCTCAAGACCTGAGAGGTTGAGACTAAACAAAATACTTATATTCATCATTTTCTCTTAACCGCATGGAAAATTTAGTAGTTTTGAAGGTATTTGGAAAAATTATAAAGTGCTTTTAAGCATTCATTTTTAAGCCAATTTTTTTTTAAATAAGTCAAAAATCAAAAGTAGGGTACCATCTACGTGTATGACTTTTAATTTTTGGCTTATAAGCAACTTTTTATATGCCCATCCAACCAGGTTCTTAATAAGTTGGTATAAGTTTTCTTTGATACACCGAATGAGATAGTAATCTCATATAATAAAGTAAAACTATATTTTCATGCTTAATCGATAAGATAAATAATAAAATGATGGAAATAGTTAATCTCATGGAGATATCCAACGCATGAGATATTTTTGTTTATCTCATCTCACCTACTAAACGCGTCTAATTATTTACCTTTGATTATATTTTATACATCTCAATATATGTGTCACTTTTTTATTATTTTAGCAAATTTTTAAAAAATACTTAATAATAATGATTGTACTTCATTTAATATTTTCCTAGTTCACTAACAAATGAAGCATATTCTTTTTATCTTAATCAATCACAATGAAGCATATTATCTGCAAATATCGTTGCGTTTGCGGACCAAATTCTCATCTTTACACTAAAGGGAGAAAAGGCACATCATCTTTATGATATCGAGAACATATTTTTTATGCCTCATACAGCTAACACAAGTTATACTTTCTGTTTTACAAGTTAGTGAACCCAATTCTTTACACTTTTTGGTACAAACTTTTGAGTCCACCAATTTGTGAAAGAAAAAGAAAACCTCGCACAACTTATATCAATTATGTGAGACAAAAGTAAAAAAAATTCTGATATCGAACCTTCTGTTGGCCCTGGTTTACTGGCCCTGTCGAAAAATCTGCCAGATATCATAATGCGAGTATATCAATGCAGAAAATATAAGAACTTAAGTGCATTATTATATAGAACAACTGCAAATAAATATACATGGCTCAAAAAAAGTCACAAATTTGGGAAATGTATGATTTTCTGGCAAATAGAGTTCTTGAACAGAATCCTACAAGTACAAAATTTCCCAGATGCAGATTGACATCCCCAGCCACAGCTCGGCGGCCTCATTAGCTGCAACCTTCTTCAATTTTAACAACCTCAACCTTCGCAATACTATAGAAATAGAGAAAGACAACTCTCTAGTCCACATCTTAAACGATCCAAATTTTAAGGGAAAAGTAGTAATCAAATCTAAAAAAGGGCAGCTCGGTAAACATTAGGGAAGTGCCACATCCCAGGGGAGTTTAATGTAGTCAGGCCACCCTGGTGCAAGCAATTTCACAGCTCGAACCAAATCAAAATACTAGAAAAAAGTTGTAATCATCTCCATAAGCTAACCTCGATAACAACGAGAACAACTTTTGGATGTTTTGATTTTGACAACTTGAAGTGAAAGACGGTCCTTTAGATGTTGGTTAACAAAGAGAGTCAGTCGGTTGGCCATATGTCTTCTTTATCCAGTCCAGAACATCCACACAATCTTCACGCCCAATGAAATGCCTTTACATACAGAGAGATTTCAGGTTAGGAGTAAATGAGCGAAGATTTTTGCTTCTATATTTCAAGTTCATACCTGTTTATTGTACGATAGGTCTTCAATTCTGCAGATTGACGGTGATTTCTTATATCTTTCCGCATACGAAGTGACTCAGGCATCTGGAAATGGCCATCCTGACTGTTATACGAATCACATATAAAGCTAAGCACCTTTTCCTGTAAATGCCATTTTCAGATGTCAACAGGAGAATTTGACGTGTTTCATGGCTCATGCTACTGAGAGATAAGGCCCAATAAAAGGTAAGATTAAACAATTAAACAATTTTTCATAGGGGAAGAAACGACTGCCTCTGCACATGAAACAAACACGTTCCTTGAAAAAAGGAAAACTGAAAATTATCACATCAACTCCAAGTCAAAGAATCCCTATTTCGTACAATTAATTGTCACTGCCTATATTTTCCCTCAAGACATGCTTTTGGACAAAGAGAAGTCTCAAGGCAAGAATAAGCGTCTAAAACCAAAGGAGGTCATCGTGAAACTGATTGTAGCTCTATGAAAAAAAAAAAAAAAACAATTTGAAAGAGAATCTTCCCACACTAAGGTAATTATTGCTAAGAAAAGGACCCACTATTGTTCTGAACCTTCCAGAATCAATCTTTCATATCCAGACTGGCACAACACAGAATATACCAACCATGGGATACCCAAAGAGATGATGAAAATATCCGCATATATATAATGCATGCATGACTGTATGCATATCATACTGTCAATAAAAGGAATCGTGAACAACTTTTATAAACCAGGAGAAACTCAGCTACTGCATCCGGAATGAAGAGAAATGTCCAACTTGATAAAAGTTCTATTTAACAAAAAGAAAGGCACAACAATTCCTTATAAAACAGAAATGGCATACCAAAGGTTTAGAAGCATCTATCCACTCATAAATCTGTTCATTGCGAAACCATGTCATCTGCCTTTTTGCAAAATTTCTGCACAAGAATATAAGAATCAGTCAATCAGCTTATAACTTACAAGAAATAACATTATAGACAACAACAACATACCAAATGTAACCCCACAAGTAGGGTTTGGGGAGGGTAGAGTATACGAGACCTTACTCCTACCTCGTAGAAATAGAGATGTTGTTTCCGATAGACCCGGATTAAAAAAACATTTTCAGCAGTTTCAATATGGGAAAAGTAACAACAATGAAATAATGTGAAATGGAGAGCATTACACAACATAGAGAAGAAAGAACTGTAAAAACAAGTGCTAAAAGAATATTGCTAATACTACTGCCAAGAAACTACAAGAATATTCCTAATACTACAGCCAAGAAATAGTATTATAGACAATCCAATCAAATCAGGAAAACCAGCACTAAAAGCATGGACCAGACCCAAATGTATGGAAGGGGCCAGAGCCCAGACAGGAGTAAGAGTGGACCAATTTAGGCAGTACTATCAGAAGTTCCTCACATTTGCATCCACAATCATCCATACTGCTCTTTTCTCATCTTGAAAAGTAACTACAGTATCAAGAAGTGTGGCTCGCTCAGCAGACAAGAAAGTGAGGGTTAAGTAGAAAGTTGTCTTCAACAGTGACAGGGGAGACATGATTAAAATTCTATCAGGAATAGTTGTGGAACTTTCTGCTTATCCATGGCAAATCCGCATACAATGACTACAACATATAAGCCTCCAGAACTAAACTGTGACACTACAGAGAAAAATTGCAGATAAATACTACATTTAAATGTCAAGAAAGAAAGGTTGTCTTAATATGTGAAATAATAGAAGAAGTGTTTGTTATGACTTATGACAGAAGTTATTTTCTAAGAAAGACATTTTCATGAGGAAGTCATGCACTAGTGCTTGGTTACTGGGAGGTGAGGGGATGACCTCCCTCACTTATGGACGAAAGCCATTTTCGTTATAACTATGTTGACTTTTAATTCCATATCACTTGCTCCAACCAACACTTAGACATAATTATTAATCTTTATTAGTCAAATTTCGGTAAAACACTATCCAATTTGCTAAAATTATTATCAGTCTTTGATATGTATTTTTCCAAAAATTATTTTTCAGTCACCAACCAAAGACGAGAAAACATTTTCTGGGAAAATAATCTTCCACTAAAAAACATTTCCCCGGAAATATTTTCCATAAAATAATTTCCGTTAGATCAAACACATTTCAATCAAGGAGGCCTTAACGGTTCTTACTAAAAGGCCATTTTATTGAAAGATAACATTTTGAAAAATTATATTTTATTACACAATAAGGCAGTCGTTTTCCCTGCATCCATATCTTCTATACAAAGAAACCGAGAACAACAAAGATCATCACGATTTGAGACAATTACATAGTCACAGTGAAAGTAACATACCGTGATTCTTTCTGAAATTCAGATAAAAATTCATAGAAGTCCCCAGCTGAACTCCATCCTCCATTTTCCCTACATCTTAGAAGGTATTCCATTGCCTAAAAGATTTTGAACAAACACATATTAGTAAACAAACTATTGGACTGTGTTCAAGCTATAGGGATGCAAATATACTTGTCGGTAACCAATTGCTCGAGTAGCAGAACTCGAGTTCGGCAAAAGACCCACATCAAGAAGCCACCCTGCCTCAGATAGAATTCCATCTGCTCCTGCAGTATGCACCATCATAATGAATTAATTAGGATCAATGTATTCTAAATAAAGTTGTTAAGGAACTAAAATGGAAAGCTCTTATTTAAAAGAAAGATTTATTTTAGTTGAAGCAAAGATTAGTATCTCAATGACTACAAAATTAAAGCACACTGGTTAACTCTTAGAAGAAGAATTAACCTTTATTAACAAAATGATCACTGGTACTTATTTGAATTGCTCACATTTCACTATCCAATTTCCAAAGAAAATGTTTCTCCAGTTATTCAGAAGAAACTTGTCCGAAATACATATCCTTAGTGACATCAAGACTATGAACAAAGAGAAAGAAAGGATCAATTACTTCATCTAGTCTTTCCAAAATGTGAGAAAGAAAGGATCAAATTAATTCATCCAGTCTTATCAAAATGTTATGAAACAAAGAAGGGCAGGAAGGGAGGAAGGAAGAGAAGCAGATAATTAGCCCTAGGTATCATGATAACCGCAAAAATCTTAAGGCAGAAAAGAATGTTCTTCCTAGAAGGCTTGTGAATAATGGATGAGGCTGTGATTAAGAATTCCAAGACCTTAAAAGAATATTAAACAAAGCAAATAATCATAAAAATTTCATTAATCTTTTACCTAAGAGCATATCTTCACACCGAAAATCAATTGATCTATAAAGATCTATCCTATTGGTGGAAAGGAAATAACAAAGAAAATCATAATCCAAATCCTTTATTTCATTCTGCTGCAATTTGTCAGCAGAAGTCTTGACTTCAGCAGCATCTATTTGACCTGATACTAGCTGTTCTCTGAAAGAATTATATGGTACTTCAAAAGCGGATGGAGGTGACCCAGTAGACTGCAAGACAAAAAATGTATTTAGTTTTTTCATCTAAAGATGAACTGAACAGGCTGCGACAACATGGACTAACAGTTGTGCACATCTCAATCCAGTCTCAACTATTCCATAACCACAAAGAGCTCTTATGAAACCAATACAAGTTCTCTCTACAAGTACATCAATAGTTGACAGGAAACACAGATTCTCCCTGCAATCACATCGGTAAGTGACAAACAATAACACAGAAATCTCTAATGTCAACCTAACTCATACAACATGTGATCTAGCTTACAAAGAAGGGGTTAAAATCAGAGCGATCGCACATGAAAGTAACACAATTTTACCTTAACAATTTCAAGCCTGCGACGCAAGCGATACCAATCATTTGCCGGTAAAGACTGGGCACCAGGATCACCAGCTTTAACCAACAACTGAACAGCAGCATTCCAGTCTTCATCATTCTGTAAACTTGCAAGCTCTGAGTCAACTTCAGCAGCAATCTCTCGAGAGGCTTTCGGAACATCTGGCCTCCCATAAATAAACCTTAAACGTTGGACAGAATTTATTATGTGAGTTGGAAGATCATGCCCCTTTAGGTTAAGTGACTCAGTTGTAGAGACTGCATGAAAACAGAATTCTTGTACACCCAAGATCCAATTCAATTATCAGTTACAGGATATATGTAAGCTTCATTTTTAAATATAATAAAGCTTGTAAATAGACATCTCTCAACAAAACTTATCCTCATTCTTGCTCTCTCACAGTCTGTAGTTTTACAGAATGAATCTTCTTTGTTGAACAAGTTGCAACCAAAAAGTTTAGCTTTAGTTTTGAAATGTACTCCTCAATCTAACCAGAAGCTTTCAAGTGTGAGCTGTAATATCCTACACATACCATCGCAAATATAATCCAGTACCACCCGCGACTATTGGAACACGGCCCCTATCAAGGATATCTCTGGTAGTTTGCCTAGCATCCTCAAAAAATTGTCCAACAGAATACTCTGATGACATATCCAAAAGAAAAGGAGAAAAAAATAGTGTTAGCACTCAAGGACAACAAATTTAAGGGCACATCATATAGGGCATACAGTTAACTAAACATGACTATATGAGCAAATCAGACGAAGGAAATTTCACTTCAAATTACATCCCCACCCCGCCCAACTGGCACGGGTTCCCTAGAAAAAGGACTCTTGATCACAGTGGAGTTTGGAATGTTGTGTTAGTCTAAAGTTACAAATATCTAAAGTTACAAATACCAGTGATTCACTAATCTCAACGATTTGTATAAACATTGCAAATGCCTTGAGCATAAACAAACAAAGGTGAAATGATAGATATAAAATGGTCAATTTGAGGGTTTCAACAAATTGAGGAATTTTGATGTGTTCCCTTCATTGATTTTAAGTTCTGATGTTCCACAAATATGGAAAGCAGAGGGCTTCTATTGGTCATGACTGTCACTATGCACACGCCAACAAATATATGCACCGAATTACAATTTATGACAATGTAGAGGGCATAGATCATGCTTCATTGAGTGAAGGGATGAGCTGCACAGCTATTGAAATTCATGCAAAATAATGTTTCATTGCTTCAGACCCTCTAATTTAGACAGAAATACCTTCGGATGGATGCAATATGTCAACCAGATGATGTACTACTTCCTGCAAAACATACAGCAAAATAAGCGTCTGTCATGGCAGTACTCTGACACATGGTTCTATAAAATTCAAAAAGTATTTTCCATTCCTCAAACAGACAAACAAGTAGTAATGAAGCTCCAAAAGTTAGTCACTCAGTACATCCAAACATGAAACCAAAAGAACCAAAAATTACGCGGAAACCAAAAGAAGGAAAAAAATGTTTCATGTTAAAAGCATGCCTCAAAAAACCAGGCAGTAATGCTAATATTAGCAAAACATAATTCAAATTTGCTAAAGCAATACCTTTCTTTCATCAAAGGAAGGCTTCGCTGAACCGACATCAAGCCCTCGATACACCTATAAAGCCAGAGAACAAAACATAGATCAACTGAATTTCGACAAACATCATTCAGTCAGTAGCAGAGCCATGATTTTCACTAAGTGGTTCAAATTTCGAAAAGTTCAACACTAGAATAAGCTATAATAGGGGTTGAACATCTATAATATATACATAAAAAAAATAATTTTAACCATGTATAACAAGTGTAATTTTCTCGACCCTACCTAGCTCCACCACTGCATTCAGTTAAACAACACTGACAAGTTTGTGATAAATTGATAATCTTTGCTATTTCATTTAAGTTAAAGTTTTAGTACTTCAACTTTATTCAATTGTTTACTATCAATCTCAATTTTCTAACTAAGCAAACGGAAGCAATTTATGAGGCTAGATAAGTAATAACCTGTACAGAGTCCGCACTGATGATTTCACCATTGAGTCGCTTAGCGAGCTCTAATGCTAGCTTGCTTTTACCGGCACCGGTAGGTCCGGAAATGACAATAACTTTCTCTTTGGTAGAGGAGGCAGAGCAGGAGGTGAAGAGACGGCAACGGCGGCGGAGAAGTGTCTCCACCGTGTACGGCAGCCGGAGATAGCTGCTTATTCGAACGCCACCAGTCCCGACGGTGCTTATCATGACTGGAGCAACTGGACCGATTGGCTACCGGAGAGGAGCCAAGTCCCTTTTTAACACTATAGTTTAGAGGCCTCTTAATTGAATTTTTCAAAAATTAATACTAGTATTTGTTTGATAAATATGAAAATGTTATTATTTGTGAAAATTATTAGTCTCTATTAAATGATGAGTAAATAATAATTTATAAACAATATTTTTTTTAAAATATTATAAATTGCATATAGTTCATATTATTTTTTTATAAATAAATATTTGTAATAACATATTAGTATGACAAACTTTTAAACATATTAATTTCAATGATTCACTAATCTAATAAATTAGCAATTAGTACTAATTAGTTGTTCACGTGTTACATATAATCTCTTTATATTGAGTGTAATTTATTTTAACTTTTATAAATTTAAAATGATGAGTTTTGTTTGTAAAATATAAATTTGAAATTGTTGAATTGATTTTGGTGAAAGTCCATGTAAATTGTCCACTTGATATTCTTTTACTTTGTGGTCTCATTGTTAAACAATTTAGAGTACATTATAATTGTATGTGCTAAGGTTTGAATTCGATGTAAAATTTGTTTGTAATGACATTACATTCATGTATATATAGAGTTTATTACACAATACTTTAGTCATTTTGATGCAATACAATAAAATTCAAGTGATCATCCATGAAATTATCTCGTTTCTCCTTCTTGCTCTGCTCAATTTCACCATAGAAATAGGAAACAAATCCACATAGAGCTAGGAAAATAGCAACTCCTTTTTCAACTTGAAATTTTTCATGAAATAAAACTATAGCTAATATTTCAGTAACAGGAAGCAAAAAGGCACCTATTATTCCAGAAAGCAAAGATGAAGAATAAAATATCACTCCAACTAATCCCAACAATGCTAATTGCCAAATAATAGCACACCATATTAGTACCAAATAATACTTAGCTTCTCCAATCTCGTATTCACTTGCCTCCTTTGGAATTGCCTGTCAAATAAGATGTTAATATGTTTTGGTTATATCTGATAAAAAAAATATATTATTTTAAAGATATTTATGTATAACTTAGAAATAATATTCTTATCTCACAACATAAAAGTTAGATTTATATACATTCTATTATTTGTAAAGTCCATTTATGAGATCACATATTGTTGTTGTTGTTAAAAAATATCATGAGAGTACAATGATAGTAGAGGTGGGGATGGTAGAAGTGGGTTAGTCAAATAGTGGTTTAAACTTTTAATTTCGCTTACGTCACGAACATAACTTGTTAAATTTGAAGTTTTTGCCATAATTCATAAGCAACACTTTTTCACTTAGTAGATAATGAGGAAAGCGAACTCAGAAATTCAAGATCTAAGGTCATTGAATGTAATTTTATTTAAGGAGACAAGTAGCTTAGAAATGGAATTCATTTTTTTCTTTTGTTTATTTTTACTTGTCTACTATTTAAAAATATATATTCGTTTTTAAAATAGTTATGCTTATTTTATATTATTCTTAAGTACTATTTATTTTTCAATATTTAGATGACTTGTGTTATTTGTCATTTTACCTATTTTATTTCGAAATAAATTATCCGAGATTGTTGTACCAGCAAAGGAGAGAAATTTATCCAATACTAATTATTAATTCGAAATAAGTTATCCACTTATCAATTAAATAACATCATAGTTTAGACCCAAAATTATTTGGTGTTATGCTTCGCATCAAACAACCCGTTAAAGTAATACTATAACTAGTATGATTTATGAATAACTAACCAGACTAACTTCCAAGTTTCAACTTTCAAAAATTCAAATTTCTAACTTCAAAAATTTATGATCAAAGGTTGAGCTCGAATTCCACGAGTATTAAAAGAAGAAAATGGGGAGGAATACCTGGAAATCGTTGTTAATTATCATTCCAATGGTGCAAAAAACAGTAGCAGAAACACCAATAATCAGCTGAATTTCTAACACCATAGTATAACTAATAGCATTTTTTGCCTTTATGTAAATCAACTCAATAAGCGATACCATAAGCCCAAAACAAACCGCACCCATAACCGTCATCACAAACCCAATCACATACTCCTTAACAGAAACACCGGCCGGCCGATCGCCGTTCCCCCGAAGTGCTAAAGTTGCAGCTCCGGCGATTAACAGAAAAACAGATAACGTCGAATACACAGTCAATTTTTGCTTTACTAAAAGTACAGCGAAGAGTGCGGTGAACGCGAGTTGAGTTGCGTTGATGAGAGATGAAGTTGAAACGGGTAATTTTGCAGGTCCCCATGAAATAAAGTAACCGTCGAGACCGGCAATGATTCCGACGCCGATAGATCCGATGATTTCTCGACGAGTTATGGAGAGGATTTTGGCGGTCGCCGGAGATTCAATTTTCCGGCGGTGAAAATAGGAGATGGATAAAGGGATGAGGATTAAGGGACAAGCAATTGTTTGTAACCAACTGGAGAGCCAAATTCTTTGACCTCCATGGATGAAGTAGAAACGAGAGATCAAAGGGCCACCACAGTTGCCTATTGAAAACATAATTATGTTCAAAAGTAGTAAGGCAAACTTCTTCATTTTTGCTAATCTATAATCAAGTTTTCTAATCATCCTGTATTTATAACATACCTAAATTATAATTCACCAAATTCATAACGTGCTAATTTTTTTAATCTTTTTTTAACTTAAGCCATGCGCACCTTGACTATTATATATCACATGATATCTGTCACATCTCATCAATAACAATAATGCGTACAAGATAACTCTGTATGGAATCAAGTTTATGATAGATGAGAAGAAATCACTAGTGTGTTCTGTCTCCACTAAATTTGGACATCAAAACTTCTTGATTGTCAACTCACTTCATTGACAATGCTTAATTTTTTTTAAAATAACTTTGGTTAGGTTGTTATCGTTTTCTATACATAAAAAAAAGTACTTAAATAAAACAAAAGTCCTCTACATTAGTGCCTTCCATGTTCCTCTTAGGGTAAATTATATCCAGGTTCAAGGGAAATGTTTATTTATATTATCATAATAAAGAGGAGTCAACTCTTTAATTTAGCTGTCTTTCTCTGACCTTTTAAAATTAAGAAAATGATATAATGACATATCTGATGAAAATAATTCTTTATTACATTAATGTGTTTTATAGTAATGATCAATGGCAGTCAAATAAGAACAGATATCGTTGTTATATTTCTATCTCTTCAACAAATTTAGTTATGAGCATAACGGTCTTATAGTTCTGATAGAGAAAAGAATCTATGAGTGGGTTTTCGAAAAAAAATTCAAACAAACAATTTCAATGGAATTGAAATTTAATTTTTTATTTTACTATGTTCAACTCTATGTATTTCTCTATCTGTAGAGTACATTGAATGTATAAAAATGACTATTATAAAGCTTCTCGTATTCGTATTAACAGCTATTCTAGGGAAAATATTTTTATATAATGCTGACGATTTAATACTAACTATTTTTGTAGCCTCGAAATTTTACAATTTCTGCTCCTATCTATTATGAGGATATATGTACTAAGAAAAATGTACGGTCTAATAACATTACTATGAAAAACTAAAGATACGTTAAGATTTTATTTTTTATGGGAATACGAGCAAGGAAGAACAAAATTAATCATTAGAAAGAAAACGAAAAGAATAAAGAAAGTTAAAAAATATTAAATGAAATAAATGCTGAAAAGATATTATCCTTTTTTCATCTTGAGAGTGTAAATAATTGAGGGGGGATCTTTATGTATTTAATTTATATGGTAAACTTAGTATCGTTGTCAGTGTAAGAAATTTTTATATTGCTATGTCATTTTTACATGTTATAGTAGGTAACTTGTCTTATTTTAAGATTTCAAATCTCACATTAAGGAGACTTACTTATAGATATCATTTACCGTGACTTGATAGTATAAATATTTTTTTACACTTACAATATACCTATTTAAATATTTTTTTAAGGCTCTTGATGTACCTAACTCACTATATCACCAACCACTAGTTGCATTCAAATTCTATGCTTAAATTACAAGACATATATTTCCTCCTATTTTATACTATGCTTAATCTTAATTCTACTCCCACCAATATGACAACCCAACCCACACAGGATCGTAAGATCTTTTTCCTTTTTCCTCTTGCATTAATCTCTCTTTTTCTTCTTGGAACTCTTAGATTTTTACTTGATAACTTGAAAAATAACCAATTCCAATTTCTATGGCAAAATAAGTTTCTTAGAGTACCAATAAATGTTTCTGAGAATGAAATAATTGGAGAAAGTTGCAATGTATTTGAAGGAAAATGGGTTTGGGACAATGTAACATATCCACTTTATAAAGAAGAGACATGTCCTTATTTAGTTAAACAAGTTACTTGTCAAAGAAATGGAAGACCTGATTCTTTTTATCAGAATTGGAGATGGCAGCCTCATGGTTGTAACTTGCCAAGGTAAATAAATTTGATCTTACATTTTAGCGGCGGATTGTTTTGTAAATGTTTGTTGATCTCAGGTTCAATGCTTTGAAGATGTTGGAGATGTTGAGAGACAAAAGGATCATGTTTATTGGAGATTCTATACAGAGAGGCATGTTTGAGTCAATGGTTTGTCTTGTTCAATCAGTAATTGCAGATGGTGATCATACTATCAAAAGAGTTCCTCCTAGAAAGATTTTCAGAATTGAGGTACTAATGGAGTATTTAACTTGAATTTGTGTTACATAAATTTTCACCTAAACATTTGTGTTGTTTATGTTGTAGGAATTTAACACGTCGATTGAATATTACTGGGCTCCTTTCATGGTTGAATCTATATCAGATCATGCAACTAATCATACTGTAATGAAGCGACTAGTTAAGCTTGACTCTGTAGAAAACCATCGCAAACTTTGGGAAGGAGTTGATATTTTGGTTTTTGAAAGTTATGTGTGGTGGATGCATAAACCTTTCATCAATGCAACGTAAGTACCCTTTTCACTCACTCCAAAAAAAAAACATTCAAAATTAGTGCAGAATGAACTAATATTGATTGTTCTGTTTCTGCAGAT